TTTAAGACTTTGGACCAACAAATGCAGAAATGAAAATTTTCACCTTTTTTTTAGACTAGATGTTAAAACAATTTATCCGTATGTTAAATGTTCTTGCCCTTAATTGCATGATTTTACATTTGTGCTAGTTATCAGGTTTTTCACTCGTTAATACAAGATAATAATAAACTGAAAATTAATCAGTTGGTTAAATTATTCAGGTCATCACTGATCATTTATGTCATTTTTCAAGGAGAAATGCCAAAAATGTGACAGTTCCAGGTTCTGAAATATCAGAAAATCTTTGGCTCATGGGCCTTAGCTACTATTTTCCTGTAAGTGGACAACTTGGAGCATATTTTCTGACCCTGTTGTCATTGCTCATTCCATGAAGCTGTGGTGGGAGCGGGAATCGGTGGTACTGCAGCAGCGTTTTACCTGAGGCAGGAGTTTGGAGCCTCTGTGAAGATCGATGTGTTTGAATCCAGCGATGTCGGTGGGCCACTGGCGACAGTGAAGATCGGGGATCATGAGTATGAGACGGGAGGGTTAACGATCCATCCTTTAAACCTACACATGAAGCACTTTGTTGAAAAACTAGGTAATGTCAACACGTTGAAAATTAAAACCTTAATCAGAATGTAATACATCATATTTCACCTTTGTTTCCTGTATTTTTTCAGGTATTCCTCCAAGGAAAGAGGTCTCAACTAAAATGGCGATCTTTGACGGAAAGGAGCTGACGTTTGAAGAGAGCGACTGGTTTATAATTAATTTCTTACACATGCTCTGGCGATACGGCTTCAACCTGCTTCGAATGCAGATGTGGGTGGAGAGTATTTTGGACAAATTTATGAGGTAAGAAATTGTCACAGCCGCTAATATGAGATTCTTTCAGTGTGAGATCCATAAATATTGTCTCTGATTTGCTCTTCCTTGTTTTGTTATATGTTCTCAATGATCGTGGATATCGTGTCACTCAGGATCTACCAGTACCAGCAGTATGGTTACTCATTCTCCAGTGTGGAGAGACTCCTGCACGCTATGGGCGGAGACAGTTTTCTCACCCTGATGAATCAGACTCTGGAGGAAACCATGAGAAGTGAAGGATTCTCACAGATCTTCCTCAATGATTTTGTTGCACCCATCACTCGTGTCAACTATGGTCAAAGTGTCCGCATCCACGGGTTTGCGGGTACATTTATAGAGTTTGTGCTGTTTTATCACATTTTGAATAACAACCCTTTTTTGTTGAGAAGATGTAAGAACGGTTTAACTTGTACGTCTCGTCTTCCAGGGGCTTCGTCTTTAGCAGGAGCAGATTCAGGTCAGTGGACCGTGGATGGAGGCAACAAGAGAGTTTGCTCAGGACTGTTGTACAACAGTAAAAGTGAGCTCATCCCTGCCAGAGTGACGTCCATCTCAGTAAAAGTTCGACCTTCCAAGTCAGGTAACACCTTCATTTTTCTTCACAGATTAGATTTCTCTTGTTAATGAATCTGTAACATCTGTGTTTTTGTTTGTCCTTTATTTTCAGGCACCACAACCAGTTACTATGAGGTCAGTTACGTTGGGGAATCAGGCTCTGCTCACTCTCTTTATGACATTGTGGTAATAGCAACACCACTTCACCAGGGGAAGTCTGACATCACCTTCTCAGGCTTCTCTCCTCCGATCCCGTCTCACTACCCTGGCCTTTACCACCAGACGGTGTCGACTCTGGTCCACGGCCTGCTTAACATGTCCTACCTCGGCACCACAGAGCCCCCCTCTGACTTCACTGTGTCTGATGTCCTCACCACGGACTCCAAGGGCTCGCTCATCCACCGCCTGACCTCTCTCGACCCCGTGCACATCCCTGCTGGTTACAAACGCCCTCCCGCCAGCCATGCCAAAGTTTGGAGGGTGTCCTCGCCACAGCCGCTGTCTCAGGAGCACCTGCAGAACATGTTTATCTCATGGGATTCTGTGTCTGAGAACCGGCGGCTGGCTTATCCTGCGTACCGCCCACCGCATCGGAGGACCCCTCCGTTCGTCCTGCACAACCGGCTGTACTACCTCAGCGCTGTGGAGTGGGCGGCGAGCACCATGGAGATGAGCGCCATCTCTGCCAGGAACGTGGCCCTGCTGGCACACCACCGCTGGCATAAGCAGGTCGGCAAAATCGACCAGGAGGACCTGCACACCCGACTTAGAGGGGAGCTCTAAGACGTCACCACTACTCTAGATGAGAACAAAAAGCAATAAAATACTTCCAATCAAGCAGAGTATGTACAGATGCTCAAGGGCACGTCTGCTGCACTGTGATAACTCCAGTCAGGGTGAATCCCAACTCTCTTTCAGGTATCTGTGGTGCTCTGGCTTCCTTAAACTCTGATTCTGGTTTGTTAAAGCTTCATTTCTAGAGAGTAAAGTACTGTTGCTGAGATTTACAACATAACTCGATTTAAGGTTAGTCAGTCAAAAAACAACTGGCAAAATCAGTTGGTAAAATATTTGTAAACTTTTTTATATAATTGTCTAAACATTTGTTAACTTTTATAGACTGTTAATAAAAAAATCGTCTCCACTTCCTCCAGTTATCGAAAAATAATAAGAACGCGGCCATCTTGCACATTTGGAGTGTTGGTGAGGTCGTCTCAGCTGTCAATCATAATGTTTCATCCAATTTTAAATTAAAACCAAACTTACCAGAAACATGAACACTTGAACAAAGTGTGAAAAGCTAACCTAAAATGATCAAATCATCTTCATGAATCATCTTTGAGAGAGATTTATTTAATCTCTAATCCACCAACATGGAGGAGGTGGGTTTATGACGTATACTTCAGCCAGCCACAGGGTGGCGATCTAGAGGCTTTTCTTCACTTTTGGGGATCTTTCATGTCGTCTTTCTTTGTGTATGGTCTGTGGTTTCAGTTTTTAAAGAGAAAAGAAAGAGGAGAGTTTTTCTCTCTTTCTTTTTTGGACCAATCACTAGATCGAGAAAATTATCTGCAAACAAATCAATAATATAATGATTAATAATGATAATTGTCAGTGACACCTGGATGACATCGGTACAAAGTTAAGGCAACAAAGACAAACTGGGAAATGATCGGAATTAAACATGTTTCAGGTGAATTAATAAATTGGTTGATAATAATCTTTATTCCACAGGTAAACTGTTTCATGCAGTAACTTCAAATGAGATAGTTTAGTTCAAACCAGACTGTAACATGACAGTATTGGTAAAAGTTTTAACATTTTGTTTCCGATCTGAAATCTTTTTTATTAATGACTCTCCATTCAAAGATCCGAGCAGTAAACTTAGTGCAATGCTACTACTGTAACTTTGAAATTAATGAAAAATGTTCCTTTAATAGCTCTTGCCAGCAGCCGCATCTTCATCATCACTGTCACTGTTGAACCCTGAAGGCATCACCAGCAACAGCAGCACAAGTCACAGTAAATGGTGGAACTACGTTGTACTGTGTTGAAATGTGTAATCACTGTGAATCATACTGAACTGCAGGGTAGAACTACTACGCTCCTCAGTCTGTATATGAGTTTCTTGAGCAAATTTTAGATTTGTAAAATCATTTTTTGTGTTTTCCACGGCAAAGCTAACATCACACAAACCAACCACTGTTAACCTTGAGCCAAATTCATGCATGGCCTTTAATAACATGATGCTGTCCCTTTATTGATGGACTCGTGTCTTCAGATGATTTTCTTACTCTGCAGCACACTACTGTAAATGTTGTTATAGTACAGGCAGCTGTCAGCAAGAGAGGTTTAATACTAAGATGTTTTCTCTGTATACAAGATGAAAATTATGTACGAAAATATTCATGTATTTTCTTAAATAGACTGATAATAATTGGAGTCTAATTCACACTGAACAGTTGAATTTATTGTGGTGCCTTAAAGGTCCAGTGTCTTACATTTAGATGAAAGGGATTTTTGACAGAAATTGAATTTAATATAATCCTAGTGACGTCTTCACTGGTGTGTTTCATCTAACTTATTTGAATTGTTGTTCTCTTCACCATATAATGAGCTCTTTATATTTAAAAACTTTATTTCCAAACTGGAAAAACTAAAACCTTTTGAGTTTCCATGACAACGGAAGTTCACCACATGTTCTTTATCATGTTGGGAAGGGGAGGGTGAGATGAGGAGTATTCCGCTGCAACATGAAACTTCACCTCTAGATGTCACTAAATTCTACACACTGAACCTTTAAAGTCAAAGTAATGAGCTCTGTTTTTAAAAAAGTTGCCTCTGATTTTAGAAAACATTTGTCTAAACTGTGATTTTTAATGAAGTGAAATTTGCCATCAAGAGTTTTAAACTGAGGCCGATGCCTTTCTGTATTTTGTTGTAACTGAGATTTAAATGATGTCACTTAAATAAACTGTACCTATATGTTGTTAAGCTAATTTGGGAAGACCGCTACTGTTTGCTGATTGTTTCTCAAGCACTTTTCAAAGTTAATTTTTTAGATTTTTTATGTGTCATATATATTGCAAGAATAGAATTGTGCACTTTAATTGAATCAGAAATCCACCTGCAAATGCCAAATAAAACCAAACCCATGTTTCTTATTTCTAGATTCTTCGGCACAAATAAAAGGATACTTTATCATTTTAAATTAATTTAATTTCAAACATTAACTGAAACCTCCCTGATCAAACTGTATGTTTTAAAAAGTGTTTACAATCACAATAAAGTGATGAGACCGTGTCTGCTTCGTTCTCTTTATTTGATATTCTGCCTCAGGACTGATTTAGCGTAATTAGCTCTAATATGTTTTCACTCCTGTCCGTTTGTTTGTTGGTTTTATGTTTATAAGTAAGAATACACAAACTTACTGCACAGATTACCACTAAACTTGGTGAAATTATATGGTATGGGTCTGGAAGGAAACCATTAAATTTTGGCGCAGATCTGGGATATTTATTTTCCCTTTTTTAAACATTGTGAGAATTGTGTTTTTCTACCAATTTCACCGTTTTCCAAGTGAACAGTTCATGAATCTGGATGAAAACAATCAGACACATTCAGGGGACTGATTCTTATTAGTATGTGAAATTTAGTACAGCTTGATTGAATTTAAAGCAACTGTTGGGCCTGAGAAGAGGTTCTATTCTGTAAGGGTAATTATATTTATGTTATTCATAGAGGGAGGGTGTGTTATATTTGCTTCAGATATAACTACGTGCCAATTAGTAAATGAAAATGTGATGGAAATATTATCTTTTCTTGGTTTGTTTCTGTCTCCTTTTACAGTTAAAATTCTATTTAAATTCAAATAATCATCATCTAGAATTCAGATTTTTCTGACTGTTTGCCTTGTCTTGACTGAGATCAGGATGAATTTGTATTGTGTGTGGTGAAATCACACTTTCCAGCCCCAAAAGGAAGTAAACATTGCTTTGATTTTTTTTTTCTTTTGATCAAACAAACACTGCAGCATCCCAAATAAAAGCCCGTGTGACTGAGGGGCCAACAATGGGTGTCATTGACGGCCTGAATAAGGACACGTCTGTGTGCTGATGTGCCACCCAGCTGTCCTCTCAGGTAGGGAGGGACAATGGTACCAGAGCTGCCTGTCCATGCAAAACATGTGATGGGACTTGAGATATAAAGGAGGTCGGGAAGTGACAACAACACAACCCAGAGTCTTGATCGACACCGAAACCTTCTACAACCAGCAGACCAGCAGCCAAGATGAGATCTATAGGGCCGGTGATTGTTTTCCTCATTGTGGCAGCATTTCACAGCGGTAAGAAGAATAAATCATGTTCATTATTTGCAAGTGATTTACAACATTACTATAATTTATATTGTGCTGATTCCCATTGATTTTTTATGTTTGTAATTTAATTTTCATTTACAGACAAATTAAATTTGAATGTCAGTAACATGACTGATGTGTTTATGAACATGAATTTTAGCTCTTTCAGCTTCTTTGGAATCTGCAGTGAAAGAGGAAACAGCCGCTCACTATGGTGAGAACCAACATTAACAGGAGATATTTAAGAGTGATGACACTTGTACGGCTCAAAACTGATATAATTCGATTCAAATGATGCGTTTTCTTTCATGCAGATGGATTCACTGAACTGCAGAAAATAGGTACAGTGCAGTGCTGCAACTGAGATTCCAGATTTTTTAATAAATGTTTTGTGCATTTTATTTGTTTTATAGATTTTTAGTTCAAGTCTGTGTGAATTCTGTAAAATATAATGACACAGGGACACTGACTGACTCATGAATGGTTTGTTAATTGAGAGGGATCCCTCACATGTGGCTCTCTCTGAGGTTTCTACGTTATTTTAAAAAGGTTCTTTTTGTAGTTTTTCTCCTCTTGTTGAGGGCGATGTCACACAGGAGGATGTCACAGCTTGTTAAAGCCCTATGAAACAAATTTGTGATTTGTGAATATGGGCTATACAAATAAAATTTGATTGATTAACTTTTATTTGTGAATTATCTGACTCGTTCATTCTTTTTTTAAATTTATTTATTTATATATCTATTTGTAAAAGCCCATTTCTTCTCTTTCAGTAGTACACACTGTCGAAGTGTTGTTTGGACGTCGCTTTGTGACATTTTACCTCTTTGTCTTTCCAGATCAGATGGAATTTGAGGCGGCTCAGAAGAACGAGGCGGCTCAGATGAATGGTGAGTCTGCAGTACTGTGAAGAATACAAAGTACACAATCCAGATACTACATTACAGATATTAATGGATTCAAGTATTCTGCACCTTGATTCTTGTTTTAACTCCTTGTTGTGTTGTTTTCATTTACGGATTGTGAATGTCTGCTGAAAGATTAAATAAAATAAGAAAGAGTGAGAATACTTTATCTTACACAAAGACCACAGCAGAGGGCAGTGACTGGACACCAAAATGAAGACATTACACCTCCCATCCACTGTCTTAAGTACAATATGTTAAATAACTTCTTTTTTTTTTTTTTTTACCTTTTCCTGTCCAGTTACAGAAGACCAGAGTCAGGACGTCCACTACCTCGGTGAGAGGGATGAAATGTATGACCTTTGACCTCCACTGATGCAGATCTGGGTTCAGTTGGTAATCAAACCTTTCACACCTTTAACTTACAGAGGCTGCTCAGGATGAATCTGGTAAGTTACCGATCACATAAAAATCTGAAATGAATGTTTTAAAAGTCAGAGTCAGATGAGGAGATGTTTTCCTACAGAGGAGGAGCGTGTTGAGTTTGCGGAGGAGAACAACACAGGTGTGTAACAACATCTGGCTTTAACAGACAACATACAGTCTTTCTTTTTTTTAAATCTTATATCCAACATTACATAACGTGAAATCCTCCTCCAGCAGAGGGAGGCGGCAACTCTGACACTGCAGCTCAGGAGGGTAAGACATTCAGATATCAGCCTGTAGGGGGCAACAAAGGACAGTTTAGATGAAAGATGAAGTGGATCATAGGACTGTACCCCAAAGTACATTGTGTACATTTAGAATATAGGCTTTTTTTTTTTTTTTACCAATGTCCCTCCTCTGTTAACCACAGAGTCCGAGTCTGAGTCCTCTGAGGAAGCAGATGGTGAGACATTGTGACTTCAAAACTTTTTTCTGCACATTAAAGTTTTAATTTAAACTTCAGTCATTCTAAGAAAACTCTCTTTGTTGTTTTTGACAGGGACACAGTTGCGGGGTGAGTAAATGTACAAAACACACATATGTAAAACACTAAGAAAATGCAGTTATCCACATATTCATGAACTTCTTATCATATTTTAGGCTTTTTTGTTGATTTCTTAAAACTATTTAAAAAGAATATTAACAAGTTAAATAAAATCTGGAGGAACACAACGGTCTAAAGATACATTCTAATGTGTTCCCAGGGCATCAGGAAGCAGTTACAGAGACTGTGAGCAGTTTGGGTAAGATCAAGTTATATCAGGCCACATCTTACAACTCCCACAATTTAACTACCCACTGTAAAGTTCCTCATGTCTCCTCTGCAGATGAAGTCAGTCAGGATTCAACCAAGGAACAAGGTGAAATCTTCATATACACCCGGCAGCAAAACAAATATAGGGGCAAGTGTGTCCTCTTCGGTTTACTGGTCATCCAGACAGTGGTTAACATTTTTTGAGGCCAACTCAAAAGTACCTGCTGAGGCAAGATGTGGTGAATTGTTTTTCAAGCGACCCAGTGAAAGTTTAAATTGTAGGTTATGCAATCAGATGGTGAGAAGATCCAGTCGGAGCCAGTTTCGGCTTGCTTTAAATAGTGTCAAAACCTTTATAGTCTGGTGCCTAAATCAAAAAAACTGTGAGATGACTCAAGAGCAATAACAAATTTACAACCCGGCAGCTTTTGAAAACTCAAGAGGGGATTTTTTTTTTTCCACCCCCAAAGTTAGACAAACAGTCCTCTTTGTATGTGGGTAAATCTGGGACAGGAATCCAGGGCACCCTGAGACGTCCCAGGGTTCTTATTGTGCTTGATTTATGATGTATCCTCGACTTCTAGTTATTTTAGGAGCATGGATGCTTTCTACCTGTCCTGACGCTGGAAGGATTCTTTTAAAGTTAATTGGATTCTTTTGATCCAAGGTTGTGGAGGCAGCGATAAAGGTTATGTTTATCATTCAAGCCACATTTTCCCAAAGAGGAGAAACCTTCATAAAATGGTGTAGTAAAAAAAAAAAAAGATGAATTCAACCTGAAGTAGTAAACCCTAATCCTCTGGGGATAGACTAGGCCTTGCTTTAAGCCTCACAGCAGTAACAATCACACACCGGTGCATTCGTCATTCAGCTCTAAAGGCAGGCGAAGTGAGTCATACCAGAAAATGGGAGAGATGTGATTCATGCACACGCTTTGAAAGCCCTGGAAAACTACTGAATTGTGTTGTTTGCTATGTAAAGCTGGCGTAAAGGAATCTTCTGTCTGTCCCCTGCGTCACAGATGTGCTGGAGTGAGAAAATGCTGCAACGTGCGGATCCTGGCACGCACTTGTCACCCAGTGCCTCAGCAGCACTGGACTTACGGTCAATAAAAGGGAAATATCCCACCTATCTGTTAAAGCTGTGTGTAGTCTTTTATGTGTACATCAATATTTGCTGTACAGGATTACAGTATTTCAGGACTAATTTTGGGTCGTTTCCCTGAGAAGCTGAGTTGAGTTGGAGCATGGTTTCCAATACTCTGCATGGTACAATATATACTGAAGCTTTCGTATATTTTAAATCAGCATCACATAAAAATTCAACAAGATTTTTTTCCCATTTTTATTTTTCATTTGTTTTTTTTGAATCCACAAATATGGACCAAAGTATGTTGATGTGTATTAAAAAAAAAAAGAAAACTAAAAAAACATCTTTGGTTTCTAAGGGAAAATAAAATAATTAAGGCAACTACAGCATCTAGGTCCGAAATGCATTTAGTTCTGCAGCCAGATGACCACACACCCGTGGCATGCAACATGTCTGCCCTTATTCAAACAGGGACCAGATCAGCTCCACACCACTCACTCAGTTTACTTCCAGTTTTTAGGTTCCTGTTCCTGTTCCTCTCCCGCTTGAAATCTTTCGAGAAGCCGGGGGAGAAAGAGGAAAGCCGAGAGCAACCCAGTTTGTCTTGGGCAAGTGCAGCGTCCACAGTGAAAAACCAAACTGGGAAGAAGCCGCTGCGAGGTGAGCTTGAAAAACAAGGCTGAAGCAGGCCTAAAGCATTAAACCATCAATG